ATCCTTGCTTGGCACAAGAACAGACCTCAATGATGTGGAAAGGAGAGATGTGTGTGTGTGTGTGTGTGTGTGTGTGTGTGTGTGTGTGTGTGAGAGAGAGAGAGAGAGAGAGAGAGAGAGAGAGAGAATTTTCTTCCCTGTCTATCTATTAGAAACAATTTTTTCCTTATTCATTCTTGAGGGAAAACAAACACACATTTTCTCAGCCCCAAAGGTCTCTTAACCTACCAATAGCAACCATTTCAAATTATTTTATATTTTATATAAAATGGATAAAAAATGTATTTTGGAAAGAATGAAAGAGAACCTCTGTCCTATAATGAATTGCATATAAAAATAAAGTGAAACAATCCAAAAAAGTTCATCTTTTTGTCCATGTAGAGAATCAGTGTTTAACAGATTTTCTAACAATGCTGTAATTCATGGTAGAGCTATCTGTAATGTCTTTCCAAGTGAATTTTACAAAGTAAATCTAAGGTCAAGGAACAGGATTTCCTCTGTTCTCTTGTAGCAAACTTGGAAGCATTTGTTTTTTCTCCTATGTACCAAGGAGATAATCACCCCCAAACACTCCAGCACTTGCAGTTTCGTTTTAATCCCATCATCTTTAAAAGGTTATAGATGCTCTTGGAAATCATGATTAACCAGAGCTTAGAGTCAGTAGCAGGGGAAGAGTGCTATGTATTCTACAGAAGAGCTCAGGGTCACTCCCATCTCTCCTCTCCTTTCCAACAAGGCAACAATCAGCACAGACATACTAAGTGATTGCCTAAGATAGCTATGGTCTCTCCAGTCCTTGGAGTGAGACAATGAAGGAAGCAAATTTTGGCATTCCCACAGAACAGAACTCTTGGGGAGCAGGATATTATTGGATTAAGTTTCTTTTAAGTGATAATTGGAGCTACAATCTTCAGAAGACCTAGGATTAACTGAGATAATGTACATGAAAATGCTTTTGAAGTGTGAGGGAATATATAAATTCAAGGTGTCGTTACTGCCTTGCCAGTCAGGTACACAGAATGAATGTCCTGGGGTCACTGACATGGGAAGTAAGGGTGGAGGAGTCTCACATGCACTTGGAGAAAATGGTGCAAACCCAACATGCCCAGAGCACTTCCTGATGGTTCTTATGTGTAACCCCCAACTCAAGCTTTAGAAAATTATCCACGTAACATACTTACACCCTTCACTCTGACTGTCTTTGTTCGAGTTGTAGACCTGGAAAACAGAAAAGCATTTATTTATGTGTATTTTATACTATCCTACAGGTATTCTGAACAAGATTATTCCCCTTCTGCATCCCCTCCTTTGTGCCATAAGATGGAAGGCAATTTTTGGCATTCAAGTATGAATTCCCATCTATAGTTATCTATTCCTCAGCATTTATTTCACCTGTTCTTCAGTGAGTGTGCCTCAAAATCACCTGTGGTTCTTTAATATAAAAAAACAGCATATTCCTTCTTTCTTAAAAAAGCAAATCTATGTGTGTGTAAGACATTTTTAAACACAGGAGAAAACAATTTAAATTAGTTACCAATCATTAGATGTTAACATGCTAAACAATTTACATGACTTATCTCAAATAATCTATATAATTCTACTGGCCAGGAACTTCTATCTGTGTTTTATAGATGGAGAATGTGAGACTGAGAAATGTTAACTAAGGCCTCATAGCTAGTAAGAAGCAAAGTCAAGACAAGAATATAGTACATACTGTTAGTGTTAACACTGGGGAAGGTGGCAATCACTTTTACTTTATATAATCCTGAAAGTTTGAATGTTATAAAGGAGAATACCAGTAATAAAAATCTTCAAATGATTTACAGAAATCATAAAAAGGCAAGTGCCAATATAGAAAGGAGGAAAATAACCTCGCTCTGAAACAGACAATGACATTAAGAGTCAGTAAGTTTTTTCTGTAAAGGGTCAGATACTTAATATTTTAGGCTTAGTGGGTCAGGAAGTGAAATAGTATTATGCAGGTACAGTGAGAGGAAACAAATAAAAATAGGCACAGTGAGAGGAAAACAAATTTCCACAAAACTCTGCTGACAAAATTCAAAACATAACAATTTTTGAAAAAATATAATACTCCTGGTAGGTAAAATTCCTGTTAGTATCTTATAGCTTTCATTTCAGAGATACTTGGCTCTGTTCCCCTAGGGATTAAATAAGTGGTTCTCAACCAACAGTGATCATCAAAAGAATCACTTGAATACCTTTTCCAAGGAGTATAATTTTTTGAAATGCAGGTCTACTAATCAGAAGAATAGATTTTTTTTTTAAGAGGGAGGGTAACATTTATCTTAATTTAAGGTTCAAAGTAGTACTTCCTATCATCAAGATAATTGCAAAAGTTCACCTGTAAATACCATATTTAGTTTGTTGGGCCATACAAATGAAACTGGTTAGCTGGATTTGACCTGTGGGTCAGTGTGCCAATCCTTAATACGTTGACATCATTAAATAAGATAAAGTCACTGCTTTAGAAAGAAAATAAAACAAAACTTAGTGCCCTAATTTTTTACTGGTGATTATGATTCTGCCGTATGAAAAAGCAGAGGGTCAAGCTGGTAAATCATAACTTAAAACAAAAGTTCCTAATGTTAAGAGTCAAAAGACTGTGATCATGGCCTAGGTTTCATCATTGTTACTTTATTTTTGCCAAATTTAATTTTTTCATCTACGAAATGGGAGCGGTGATAGTTATTTTGCCTACCTCTCCCAGGGTCGCTATGAAGACCAAATAAGATTGTGAAAGAGAAGTATACTGAAACAGCACAACACAAATGCAAAATGCTTTGGGCTATACTACAGCAGAAAGACTGCTTACACAGGACTGGTGGGGAAGGAAGAGTCATCAAGAAGGCTAGGTAGAGGCTGATGCAGAGGCTATGCAAATGTCTGTCTGTACCAGAGGGAATACGGATACCCTTGTTCCCTCAGCAGTGCCTCCACCATCAATACAATGGAAGAATCTAGCCACGGCTTTCAAACTGGGCCTTATAGAAGCCACAGAAGGGCTACCAAAGAGTCTGGAAGGAAAGCAAGATTCCAGGTATCCAAATACTCCCACCCTTCCCTTGGTATTACTCACTTTACCCATGTGACAATTAAACAAGGGCATACCAATTTAAAAATACCTCTTTAGTGAGTGATTTCTAAAGTCACTTACATTTCATTAATTTGTTTATCCATGCATGCATCCAACAAATATTTATTGTGCCAATAATGAGCAAGTAATGTGCTAGAGGATATAGAAGAAGAAAACAGCAATGACCTCCACTCTCATAGAATTTATCAACTAGTGAAGAAAAAAACATGCACACAACACTGTGAGTATGATGGAGAAATTAAGAGGCCACTATGGAGCTGGGCTGGAGAAGAGCTGCTCTGAAGAGCTGATGTTTGCAGATGGAGTTCCTTGGGAAGATTGGAGACCAGTCCCAACAGCAAGTGCAGGTGCTTGAGATGGAAATGGCACAGTCTTTTGGATGAAAGAAAGCCAGTGTGATTGGCAATCAGTGCAAAGCAGAGAGGGTAGGAGAGGCAAAGATGCAATTTGCAAGGCCTGTGATCTGTGAGTGAAATAAGTACCCTCATAATACCGAGCACCAACGATCCACAGAGAACAGCATTCACAAACCTTAGAGAGATGGGTTAAGGTAAGTGCAGGAAACAGACCATATTTTAGCCATTTTTTTTTCCATTCATTCCTCCCATTAAATTGAAACATTATATGCCAGAGAAATTTACTCCTATTTATAAAAGGCAAAATTCAGAAGGACTAGTAAAAATGTAGGATTTACTGCTTTCCTTAATTAGTTTACACCAGATTACTTTCTTACAAAGTTTCCTGGGTCTCAAGAGCTCAGTGCCTGGAACTCCAGCATCTCCCTGATTGGACAGGCATGATCAATGAGCCAAAGACACCAGAAACATGTGCCATATGATCCTCTGAGGAAAGACCATTAATCTCTGTCTAGTTTAAGGTAATGAGCCAAACATAAAGAGTTCTGAAACGAAGCTAACAAACCATGCCCACCACAAGGATTGCGTGACTACATGGTTCAATAGGGAAGGCCAAGCAGAGAAGCAGTCTCACCATCACACAGGCCAGATGGCGGCACAGAGGAGGACTAAGCAGCCAGGACTTTGTTCCCTGAACACTTAAGTATCATGGCACAATAACATCTAAAGTGTGCATTAGAAACTCATATTAGTTCCATCTTACACCTGTGGAACCTGAGGCCCAGATAGGTTACATAACTTGCCAACGACACAAAGCTGGTAAGTAGCAGATTTTGCTCCTACAGGGATATTCCTGGGTCTCAAGAGCAGGTGTGGAAAATGCATTGAGCTACCACATTACACCAGTAGCTTACAGTTCATAAATATCTTCCATATCGGTAGAAACAAAGAGCATGAAAATTGACAGGAAACCTTTCTCTACAGATCTCAGAGTTGCTTATTAATGTCAGACTGAGCTTCAGACATAAGGGGAATTTTCTGAAATAAAAAGTGTCTTTGGCTGTGCCTTTGTTTTATGATTAGTAGAGTACCTCAGATTAAATACTTTCAGAAAAGCCTCTCAGGAGCCTCTGTGTTAGCAGGACAGAACCTAACTTTGCAGTATTAATTCCAGCAGCCATGAGTCACTGCACAATCCTTGAATTATAGCTCCCTGGAAGATTGAATCAGTTAATATACCTCTCAGCAACTCAACCTAAGCTAAAATCCACCCATCTTGCTTATAGCCATAATACACTATGACCTGGCCACATTTGAGTTTCTTCGTCCTCTAGCTTTATAAATTTTGATGTAGGTATTCACTGGCTTCTGCTAAATACACTACACTAAGATATGTGAAATATCCAACCATTTGAGTGGCTATTTTCACGTGTGTGGATCTAGAGAATAGAAGCATGTGTTTATCTTATCAGGGTCCATCTGAGAGTTGTTATGGAATAATTACAATAGAAATAATAAAATAAAGATGATGACAAAAGCTTTGTTATATGTTAGACCACATGCTAAGGGCTCTATATAAATCTTTTCCTCACTTTTTTTACTCATAGTAACATTACATGATAACATTAGTTTATTTTCAGGTGTGCATTATTACTAAGAATTCAGTTAGTCGTCAAAGTAGTCTAAATATTGCTATCATATAAGTAAGAAAACCAAGATGGTAGAGTGTTTAGGGCATAGGACAAGGACAAGCAGCTGAAAACATGCAGAATCCAGACAGGAACTCCTCCAGTCTGTCTCCAGAGTCCTACTTCTTAACCACTAACCACATGATGATGATAAAGGTGATGAGAATTTGTGGGCAGCCAGGGAAGGTGAGTCACTGGAAAAAAGAATTTGCCACAAGTAAGAGAGACAATGAAACTGGGAACACGGCCTGAAGCATTTACCACTAACCCGTGCAACCAGTTGGCATTAGACACAGAAATAATGCTTTATATTCTCTCTGAACACAGGCTCGATCCTGAAGATAAATACCAGGGCGGGAAAGTGGGTCTTTGATACAAATCACAGGGCACTGCAATTCTGAGTCCTTACCCAGAAGCTACAGTGGGAATGCAATTTAATAAATCAAAGGATAGTGAGGAAAGCCATCATATGCTCCCTGCTCACTAAGATGTGATTTTGCAATAAATTCTGTTCAATGCTGAGCCAATTCAATTTACATGTCCCTAGAGAATTAAGAGAGGAATACAGAGTCATTTGAATTCCCAGAATTTTTCTAGGATAACCTTTATTACCATTATCTAGAAAGGAGGTTTTTTTGTTTTGTTTTGTTTTTTTTTAACTTTTAAATTACAAGCATTAAGAAAAATAAATTAATTGTTTTCCCTCTAATACATACATATGCATTGGCAATTGGCCATGCACTTTGAATCAAAATCTGCACTGAATTACAGAAATTTGGAGAAATGGACTCTTAAGGCAAATTTAATTAAAACTGCTACTCCTATCTAAACTTGAACTCACATCTAAGCTCTATTTCTAATTCTCTCCCGTCTCTTCCAAGTAGCCTGGGATGCTGGGGTATCCCACCACCCTGCTGTTCCCCTGCTAAAACAATATGGAAACACCTTAAAATATAGCACAAGCTGATTCTACACTACCCATAGCATTTTGTCCCTTCTTTCTATATGATACTAATGCAACCACATCACTCCAATTTGTTTTAAATTGTTTCCCTATCC